CCGGGGAAAACGTACACGCAAGCGATCATCCACCAATTGAGGCTGATCGCACTTTGGGGACCGATACTTTTCGGGCAGGACCGAACGAGTTTGCAATGTTCGCACCCGGCGAGGAGTGATATCAGAAACTCTGCTGTAGCCTCATGATATGACAGAGTAACACAAGCAAGCGGTTAGCTGTTCGTCACGCACACGCAATCGCACGTTCCTCACCCAGACAACTATGCGTACCACCAAGAAAAAAGAGCGATTCATCCCGGTCACACGAGCACGCTACATCTCTACCCAGAGCAGAGCAATTGACGGACAAACATTCACTCTCCAGATACAGCCGCGGGAGTGGAATAAGGATGGGAGGGGGGGGGCGAGGAGGCGGGGACTCGACCGCAAAATTAACCCAATATCATCACCAACAACCACCAAGGTACTATCGCAGAAACCAACTGTGCAACGTGCAAAACAGAAGCAACATCAAGAAGAAGAAGAACAACAACAACAACGACAACAACAACGACAACATGCACATATAACAACGACACGATGACTCAACGCTCGATTTTGCTCGCCCCATACCTCTTTGTCGCGGCTCCCCTGGCTAGGAAACCTGTCTTCGGGGAGGCATTTGTCCTCAGGACAAGACTTGACGTACACCTTCGCCGGCCTCCTGGGGCAGCCGGAGGCACAGGTTGGCCCGCCGCATGAGCCCGGGGCGCATTCCGGTACGAGGCTCAACGAGAACCCGGTCGTGGCCGCTACCGAACCCGCCCCCACCTGTTCGGGCGTGCGTAGTAAACGTGTACCATATTTTCAGTGCCGCTCCTTCCCTAACCGTACGAGTTGTGCAGGCGGCACACTGCAAGGACAACCGATGTCGTCGTTAGCATGGGTGTCCATCACTGCCGCAATGCTTGCTAATAGATACTTAAAGAACACGTTAAGAACGGAAGAATATAATCGGAAAAAAATGGTACTCCGGTGTTGCTCAACATCCCCCCCCGCTGGTGGTGTATCGCTTCGTCTCTCCACAACGAAACGGGTGCCAAAACCACAGAACGATACGCTTTCGGAGAGCCGTCGGCAACGCATTGTTCCACAACCCATCCGCCTTCGACAGCGCTTCTTTTTCTTGTACTAGGGAGAGATATGGGTACAATTAGGCATGGAAAATCGGCCTATGTCGATAGAGGAGGACAGGCGTTATGTTTCCAGGTGCGACACGGCAGTACTGCTGTGTTCGACGAATGATATCGCGCTCTCCCATGTTGAGAAAATATTCACGTTCCGACGTTCTAACGATGCGGAACCGAACGTGCTGGAACCGTACGTACATCGTGGAGAGCACTGGCCGCACTTGCCGCAACCAATAATCGACCCCCTTCGGCGAACTCGGGACATTCATCTTGATCCCATGGTTTGGGAAAAGGAAGGTGAGAGCGAGAGAGTGGAGAAAAACCAATAATCTTACCTTGAAGACGAATAGGGCCTCCTGCATCACGCTCGACGTCTCGTACTCCGCCGAGCACGGGCCCTGTTCCGTCTGCTTCGCCTCCCCGCAGGGCACCATGGGAGACGTTACGGCGTGCTGAGGCACGCCCGTCACCAGGGTCACATGCTAACGGGTTCAAGCGTGTCCACGGGGAACGGGTACGGCGGTCGTGCATTTTTAGATACATGGTGGTTGCTGCGGTGCGATTTTTGGGCTATACAGACGCAACCGTCCCGCGATTGACGGATAGATGCCTGCGAGGAGACGGGACCGTTAAACCGTACGCAAGTGGAATCAGAGGGTCATCTTCATCCCGCGTGAGAGGGAGAGGCCGCCGTAGGGGACGGGAGGAGAGGGAACAGTAGAAACTACGAGGTGGGGTTGTAGGGCACGCGTTTGTCGGCATGGGGTACATATTGGGAGATGGCATTGCAACATATGACTCGCTCGGGTCACGTGCTCCCAGATCTCAGGCCGACAGGAGGTGATCACGAAGATGCATTAACGCTACGACCGTGCTGGATGCGGAAACACGGCAGCGTACCGGGGAGTAGGGTTTCAACCAGGAAAGGCGAGCGCAGGAGGGGGGGGGGTCATACCCGACAGGTCGCCGGGGAAAACACCAACGAGGCCACGCTTCCAAGCCGCGAAAATACTCGTAGAACCAAAGCAGAGCCATGAAAGAGCAACGAACCAAAAACACGCTACCACCTTACCTTCACGACAATCACGAAAAGACAGATTGCAGCTTGCACCCACCTCTCCTTGGTGTGCCGCCGCCGCCGCCACCAAAACCCGCGAATACACAATCGAACGTTCTAACCGGCACCGAGGACGGAACCAGAACCCGCAACGGAGAACCAGACCAGCGCAAAATCAACGCACCTTTCCGACCAGGGAGGCCATGACAGAAAAGCTCGCGTCCATGCCTCCCTGGGCCACGACAGTCATGAACATCATACCCACACCGAAGCTGGACGGTGCGCACTTGTCCGAGACCTCGACGTTGGAGGTCGGCACTCCCTCCCCGTCGTCGACGTCGTCGGCGTCGTCGATGGCGTCGTTGCCATCATCGCCACCTTCAGCGGAATCGCCCTGGTGTTGCTCGTCAAGTACGTCGCACGGGTGTAAGTGGGAGATGGGGATATTGCGGCGTCCCCCGCTCGTACATGACCAGGTCCTGAGGGGGAGGGGGGGTACAAGAACGAAGGAGGCGCGAAGAATGACAACAAAACTAACAACAAAGACAGACAAATAACAAAAACAACATTCACATTAACAGTTCTACGAGTAGCGCAAAACGGGTACAAAGCAACAGAAGTGCTACTTGTGTGCTACAGTAGCGCGAAAACGGTTTCAAAGGAAGCATGCACAACAACGTGTCTACAGCAGTTGCTCGAGGAGCACCTACCAGCCGGAGCAGACGCCAGCGCCCTCGCCCCCCCCCTTAGCGCCCCCGCTCTCCCCGCCCTCCTCAGGCGCGGCGCAACTCGGCGTGGCGCCCATGCCGGCGTACAGCGCGGGGTCCCCGCGCATGGGAGTGACGGTCAGCTGCAGGTCCACATTGTCCTGCGGCGCGGTACCCAACGGTCCCCAGTACGCGGGATGTGCTGAGGGTATCGATTTTGTGGGGTTTTGGATTTTGAGAACTTTATAATACGCGCCCCCAGGAACGGGTTATATCGTGAAGACAACAGCAATAACAAAATACGCATCGTACAACGCGCACCAAACAGTTTGCGATTTTTCCCGGGGGCCTATTGCACGGGCAGCCGGCTAGCGCCGTGGTCCTTGTGAAAATATACTACATACACATGACACATCATGGTCTCGCTAGAAAGAACCCTCAGGGTGAACGGTGTTGCGTCATCAACTGTTGCAAGCACTCAGAACCCGGAGGCTGGACCGTGTCTATCCGGGCTCCGCCGCAAGCCCCTCGGGCCCGCGCCAAAATTGACCATCCCAGCTAGAGTTGTTTCACCAAGACCGACCGCTGTCATGTTGCCATCCAGTCAGCCCCGGCTATATACACAACGCCGGACGATCCTACCGACTTCTCGATTGTAGGTGATGTTTCGAACAACGCAACGTCGCAATTTCTGGGCCTCAGGTGTAGTGCTGGTGGTAGCGTCGTCTTTCTGCAACACCGAAAATTTAGGAAGGGGGAACACCATTAGAGGGTAGTACACACGCGCACCTGGTCTACGAGGAACCCGAACGCCATCGAACTCCCTGCCTCGAGAGTATGCCTCTGTGGAACTCCCTCTTGCAGGATAGAGACGCCCTGTCAACAACGACAGAGTTGGGTTTCAAAAGGGGCGTAGAGAAGGTGAAGCCCAAAGGAATTCAAGTGGATGCCGACAGCTCAAAAGTAAAGGCAACAACAACAACAACAACAACAACAACACTACACATCAACAACAACAACAACAACAACAACCACGACGACAACCACTAACCTGCGAGAAGGTGCCGGCGACCGAAAACATGACATCGGTCACCCCGGACTTTCCGATAAACAACCAACATGCGACCGGTCCACAGGCCTGGAAAAAAGCAACTGCACCCACAGCAACAACAACGACAAACCACTAACCTGTGAGAAGGTGCCGACCACCGAAAATGTAACATCGGTCACCCCGGAAACTCCGATCAGATAGGGATCCGCGGTGCCTTCATTACCGTCAAGGACTATGGTGTCCTCGGCTTGCCCTCTCGACGTCCATCTGGGTTTTTCGTAAAGGTATTCGATGGACCCGGCGTGGAGATTAGGTTAGCTTGAAAAACGGTGAGGCCGTCGGCAACGGACGCTGATTGGCGCCCTACCCTAACACGGAGAAAATCCACCGCCATTTTGCAACAGCAGTAATAACAACAGCAATCCACCGGTAACCCGACGACGACACCAAACTCCGACATGAAAAATCTTCTTTACTACACAAGCGCAATACACCGTCGTCATGCCTATAAGTGGCGCGGTCATGCGGGTCGATAATGGCGGTGTCTTCGCCCTTCCCGCCCGCAGGCCTCCGGACCACGTACAGGTCTCCCTCCCCCGTGGACTTGGTGAGCGTGACCGTCAGCTTGGTGGTGTCGCTCTCGGGCCTCAGAAGGTAGTAGCGCATGCCGTTGGCCGCGACCTTGCCTGCCTGGGGACGCCCGTGGACAAGCAGCGTCGCTGCGTTTTCGGTTGTTTGTTTAGTGTCGGTACGGTCAAGAAGGTGGCCGTGGCCGCCGCCGCCGTCATGTTCGACCAGCAGTCAGGGGGAGTACGCGTACCAAAACGTGTGCGTGAGTGCGATTGCCAAGGTACAGAGCGTTGGAGCGAGGTCCACAACACCGTATCCAAAACGTCAAGCGTTCCGAGCGTTCGCGGGCCGTTCCGTGTACGATCGGTCCGAGCATCGTTCCGAGGTCCGGTCCGGCAGCACAGTTCCGTCAGGTGCGGGGAAACAGGAGGGGCACGGGGTGGGGGGATCAGCTTGACGGAGGCTGAGGGAGTGTGGCAGGGAAACGATATTGGCCGCATCAGAGAAGAAGACGTACCGTCTGTTGGATCTTCTACCGACGGCAGTGCTGTCTTCCTACGCGTGGAAGCAGAGAAAACGACAGGAAATGGTTTCGTGGCACTCTTCTTACAGTAACATCACACAGTACATCTCTGTCCGCACATTAGAGTCCTGCTGGGTCGTACATTGTCCCCCGGAGAGAGGTTAGAGGCGCGGCGCTCTCCACCTCAACATACCCTACAGCTTGCGACCCGGTCACTTCTATTTTTTTCAGCTTGGACGGAAAAAAATTGCTGCAGTCAAATGGTAGTCCGGCACTCATTGTTTGTAGCATAAGACCAAACATTTTGGAAGAAACAAAAGACAGAAATCCATAACAGGACTGACATCATTAGTTCTCAAAACCTGCCGGTGTACTCTCCTTCACCCTGTCACCCGGTATCACACGTCAAACACATCTACCGAGAGGTGTGCACGCCGGTACAAGAAACGGCGGACGAACACTCACAGCACGCTCTCCACTGCGACTTTTGCACCGAAATGGCGATTTAGGAATCTTTCACACATAGGACAGATCAGATCGCTGTAGATCGCTGTACATCGTTTCGGAGGCAGATCACCAAAACCTATAGCTACAGATCGATCTGTACATGTTTGTGATTCTTGATCTATAGACACGGATTGATCCGAACATAGCTGCCGCTCTTGATCTATAATCCATAGATCATCTGCGATATTCTTGATCTATAGACACAGATAGATGTGTACATTGTCCGCCGCTCTTGATCTATAATCCATAGATCATCGGTGATTTTTGCGATTCTTGATCTATAGACGCAGATAGATCCGAACATATCTGCCGCTCTTGATCTATAATCCATAGATCATTGATGATATTTCCGACTCTTTATCTGTAGACCACAGATCATCGGTGATATTTGCCGCTCTTCATCTGTAAACCACAGATCGTCGGTGATATTTTCCGCTCTTCATCTGTAAACCACAGATCATCGGTGATATTTGCCGCTCTACATCTGTAGACCACAGATCATACGTGATACCTCCCGCTCTACATCTGTAGACCACAGATCATGCGGGTGCTCTTTCGTGCCGTGTACGTGCCATGTCAGCTTCTCGAGAGAGCTCTCCCACACCTTCCACACACCACACAGCTCCCACACTCAGCACAGCTCCCACACACGCATGAGGCCCATGAGCGGCGGCATCTCTGCCGCCGCCTCGGCTGCAGACCAAGAGGTTATCCCCGTGGGCGGTGATGGGAGCCCTAGCCCTCGGAAGACTCGCCTTTCAATATACATGGCATGTGAAAGACTACCTGTCGTGAACTTCTATTGATTTTTGAATCCTTCGGATCCACTTTGGTTTCGTGTAGTACACCATTTTTGGGTAAGTCAGCCCATGACCACGGGAATCGACCGCGTCAAGTGTTGTCGTGAGTGTCAGACTAGTCCGGACAGGAGAAGGTACTGGGTAGAGAGAACGGAACAGTTCTAAATGTGAAGACAGCAACAACAACAATAACATATGTTGGCTCTTCATCATCTGCAGGCCACAGGACCACAGATCATCTGTGACTTTCCGAGTGTTGATACATAGATTCGGGTATGTAGATCCGAAGGTGTTTGTCGCTCTTGATCTATAATCCATGCACCATCTGTGATATTTCCGACTCTTGATCTGTCGTCCATCGATCGTCTTCGATATCTGCCGCTCTTGATCTATAATTCGTAGATCATCGGTGATATTTCCGACTCTTGATCTATAACCCATAGATCATCTGCGATATTTCCGACTCGTGATCTACAGACACAGATTGACCCGATCATATCTGCCGCTCTTGATCTATAATCCATAGATCATCGGTGATACTTCCGACTCTTGATCTATAGACACAGATGGATCCGTACATTGTCTGCTGTACAAGACCAAAAACCCATAGATCATCTGTGATATTTCCGACTCGTGATCTACAGACACAGATTGACCCGATCATATCTGCCGCTCTTGATCTATAATCCATAGATCATCGGTGACACCTGCGTGCTCTTGATCTATACTCCACAGATCATGTATGATACTTCCAACGCTTGACCTATAGACCACAGATCATCTAGATCATCATCTATCCGACGTGTGGAATCTTTGCTGAAAACCAACAACTAACTCCGAAGAGAAATAAGGGCAAACACGCAAGAGCGTGGGAAGAAGAAAGAATAACATAAAGAGGGGGCTGTGCTGGTTTCTCACCTCCCTCATCGCCGCGGTACACTGAGACGGTGTAGGAGGCGTTGGCGGCGGAGGTCAAGCCTATCTGGTAGGCGCAGTCGTCGCAGAAGTGCTGGTCGCTCGCAGAGATGTTGATGAAATCGGCTCCTATACGGGATTGTTTTCGAAGCAGCAACAAACAAAATGAGAAAAAAAACATATAAGCATAGACAAGGCTCCGGACTCATGACAAAATTTGTGCGACGGAGGCGATGCTAGATCACGGGTGTAGCTTACGACCAGCGCACTGTGTTCCAAGGTAGCACGATCACCGGCAGACTGCAGCAGGTACAAGCGATGCACGACAAAAGCGCTAGGAACAGCAACAATGATGACGGCAATAAGAGGCCACAAGAGCGCCAACAGGAGCAGCAGCAACAACGACGACAACAGGAGAACACTGAAGCGCTCAGATTAGGAGCAACAACGGCAACGGCAATTAAGAGGCCACGAAAGCGCTAGAAGGAGCAGCAAAAATGACGACGACAATAAGAGGCCACATAAGCGCTGATAGGAGTAGCAACAACGACGACGACAACAAGAGGCCACAAAAGCGCTTACAGGAGCGACGACGACAGTAAAGCGGCCACATAAGCGCTAACAAGAGCAGCAGCAACGACGACTGCAACACAGGAGGCCTTCTTACCCGTGGCGCCCCCCATCCAGTAGAAGTTGTTCGGCCCCGGGAGATCGCTGCCCCCTACGGTGACGTAGATGTCGGGATCTCCGGTTAGGGCCGTTGCCACCACCTTCTCTCGTGGTGTCAAACATCACATCGCACATGAACCACACAAATGAAACCGGCGAAAAACCGGCGGAGAAGGTGAGAGGGGAGGGGGGCAGAGAGAGAGCGGGTGGCAACACGAAGACATGGGCAGACGGAGAGAGAGAGAGAGAAAGAGAACGAGAGAGAGAGAGAGAGAGAGAGAGAGAGAGAGAGAGAGAGAGAGAGCCGTCGCGCATTATTGTGTTTCTTCTGTGGAGAGATACCGGTCAGAAATAGCCANGTTAAGAAGAGGGAGACAAACGGAGAGAGGGAGAGGGCCGAACAAAGATGCAAACGGGCAAAGCAGGGCGAACGGTTGGCCACAAGAAGACTTGCAGTGTACATGGGGACATTCAAGGAAAACAAACCATGCAACCATTGATGCACAACCTGCTTCTACCGCACGCGTGTGCGGTAGAAACATGGTCTGAGCAACCTATTGCCACACTTCCAACACACGCCCTCATTACCTGAATGGACTTGCCATGGCCGGGGGGGTTGAAGAACTCGTAGTACTTCCAATCGTCTTCCCCTCCCACGAGCCCTTGCTGTGGGAACCCCTCCTGCAGCCTAGTCAGCCCCTGGCTCGCTACGATAGAGTAGCCACCCTTCTTGTAGCCGTAAACGCCCACGTAGATGGTGCAGTCGGTGCAGAAGCTGGGATGTAGACGAACGTATTTTTTCAATGAATCGATGCTCAACAAGAGTTTTTATCTTCCACGTGATGAAGGAAACGACTTAGCGACAAGCAATACCCAGAAAAAGGCTATAACACAAGAGGACTTTTTAGATCCGCGTCTCGGAGAAAGGAAGACGTTCAAAATTGGTGGCAACGTCTAGACGCTGGTAAATTAGTCAGCCGCATTCAGGAAGACTTCCTCACGCGCACCGTAAACACGAAACAAAGAAAACGACAACGACGACGGAGACAAGAGCAAATAAAATAAGTGACACCGGCAACCACATAAATATTTCTTACAAAACGGAAACAATAATCATACTTCCTGCCCACCCGGAGTGACCAGAGAACCAGCAGATGGCATGCCATGCAGCACACACAGGATACGCTGCCTTACCCGGGTGCCGTTTCCGAAAACACCAGCGTCGACGAGCCGACCCAGTTGCTGCTTTTCACGTCGTAGTCTTCCGGCCCGGGCTCGCGAGACCGGTTAGTGGTGGCGTACAGGTCCTGGGGATACGGGATGGAAACCCAGGGGATGGGGGGGCGGGTTCCAGCAGCCGGGGGATGGAGTTCTTCGGGATGTGAATGGGATGGATGAGGGGCACGGAAACAACTGGAACGGAATATGGAAACCCAGGGGATGGGGGGGTGGGTTCCAGCAGCCGGGGGATGGAGTTCTTCGGGATGTGAATGGGATGGATGAGGGGCACGGAAACAACTGGAACGGAATATGGAAACCCAGGGGATGGGGGGGTGGGTTCCAGCAGCCGGGGGATGGAGTTCTTCGGGATGTGAATGGGATGGATGAGGGGCACGGAAACAACTGGAACGGAATATGGAAACCCAGGGGATGGGGGGGTGGGTTCCAGCAGCCGGGGGATGGAGTTCTTCGGGATGTGAATGGGATGGATGAGGGGCACGGCAACAACTGGAACGGAAGATGGAAACCCAGCGACTATGGTAGTGTGTCCAAGGATGAAAATAGCGCGGACTGAAGCTGGACCCAGCGACTACGGTAGCGTGTGGAAACTGACGGAGGATGGGGTTTCGTTGAATGCGGCGTGATGCAATTTGCCACATGCCGAATCTGTGGAAACAGTGAGACTTGTTGCTCAACAACAGGACATTATCGAAACGCGAAAGACAGCGTGCCTGTGTTTCTTGCCAATAGAGCACTACCACACAATGCTGCGCCATGCATGAACATAGTGCACCGGCGTAGGCAGCAAGAACAAACATCATGTATCACCAACAGCGTAGCAATAGCAACATTATCACCACCACCAACAACAACAACAACAACAATGACAGCAACAAGCGCAAAATTGAGAGCCACCATCGCAAGCAACTTGCACGTCCTCAGCACACAAGAAAAAATAGAGTTCAGATTTATCAACAGCAACAGTAACAATGATGCATAGAACAAACATGATCTCATGCGTTGCCACAAACTGAGTACCACAACAATATATCCGAGTTCTAAATAGCAAAACAACAAGGACTAGTTCTCCATGACGCACCTGCTGCCCTCCACCCGTAGGTGTCGTCGTCACCACAATGCTCTCCCAGGGATTCTCCTCGGGCGCTGGCGTGATGAGCAGGGCGTAGTAATCGAAATTGCCCTCTACGAGGAAAGAGGACTGCGGATGATTCCCGAGCAGCAGCTGCTGCGGATGTCTCCACCCGCTGCTGAGAGAAGCCTTCGGAGCGGGGGTGGGATAGGGGGGGGGGTCAGTGTGTTAGTACAAAATTGGCATGTTTGGTCACTACGACGAAAAGCGCTCAAGTCGGGCAGGAAGTTGGGTAGCTCTAGCTCTCGCGGATATCTCCACCAGCTCTGAGACAAGCTCGGCAAAAGATCGGGGTTGAAGGCAGCAACAGCTACGGCAGATGAAGAACCCCCGGTGTCCAAGGGAAGGTCTTCTCGTAGTACCGGACAAGTTGAAACAAGATACCACACACCCTGGGCGACAAACTCCCCCCCGGTGTTTGCCATCGGGGTTGGGTTTTCGTCGCTTGACAACGTCGTTGTTAAACAAGACCCCTCCTCGGTGTTTGCCATTGGGGTTGGGTTTTCGTCGCTTGGCAACGACGTAGTAAAACAAGACCCCTCCTCGGTGTTTGCCATTGGGGTTGGGTTTTCGTCGCTTGGCAACGACGTAGTAAAACAAGACCCCTCCTCGGTGTTTGCCATTGGGGTTGGGTTTTCGTCGCTTGGCAACGACGTAGTAAAACAAGACCCCTCCTCGGTGTTTGCCATTGGGGTTGGGTTTTCGTCGCTTGGCGAAGACGCTGTAAAACAAGCCAATTCACTTCGTGAACTCGGCAACCAGGTTACAGTTTTTTTTTACCTCTGTTTTTTTTTTGGCGGTAACCATAATGGTGGTCGAGTAGATCATGTTGTGCGGGGTCGAGAACCCTCACCCGTGCACGGGGGATGATCGCACCACGTTGTGTTATAATGGTCAAGCACCCTCGAGGCAGTTGCACAGTGCTTACAACTGTCTCTGGAAGTGGAAGCACCAGAAAATAAATTTAAGTCACACGCAGCTGTCATCCGTGTGCAAGGAAGTCAGCACAAGATGCCGAACACCCTTGGCAGGATGCAGCGCACCCTTCATGCGACTCGCCGAATATCTCACGGCGCTTCGCGCTTGGTGATGTGAGAGCCTGGTCCGGTGAGAACCCGGCGTGCTCCGTCCCGGCTTTGTAGGGATGCGAGGTCAATGGTCTAACGACTACGGCATGCACGACTATGAGTACACCCCCCCCCTGGGCCGATTTTCGAAACTCAATTGCTACACAGCGCACAGATTGGCGGTGCCGAAAATGGCGGGGTGGGCACCGTCTTGTCGAGAGCTTTCCGAAAGAGTTTCGTTTGATTTGTATCCTCTTTGTCGTGGAGCACTTGACCTTGAAAAATCGTTCCATGGGTTGTGGTATCTTACGCCATGTCACCCGCGGCAAGCAGCGTGTTCTCGAGTCTCGCCGACTGGACCATTTAAGGAGTTTTTCTGCGTTATAGCCAAGAGCTGGTGAAAATCTACCACGACAGACAAGGAAACACCGCAACATATCACAGAGAAGACTCGACACCACACCTCTACGGGCGAGCTCATAAACACACCTTGATGGTATAGCTGCAGTTGGTCCTTGCTTCAACTCCGATGCTATAGGTGCAAACCTCGTTGTCCTCCGTCCCAGGAGTGCAGTACTCGGACAAAGATTCAGCCTGGACCGGGCACCGGACGCGCGGGGGGGCGGTGTTCATCACCGTGCATGCTGTAGACCCACGGGGATTCAGGTAGGTAGGATGGAAAGAACAAAATAACAGAAGAGGCGTTCGGCCGCTCGCCACGTTGGTAGCACACCGCGACCGCAACCCCTGACCTTATGTGACGCCTGATACCACCCCCTCTGAGCTGCATTTTTGTGTAACGACCTTTCAGAACACAACAATGCTGGTGGTTCCCGTGGAAGGAACTCTGAAACATCTACAAACCTCTTGGACTAAACAGTGGTAGAGAGAATCAGCATCGTCGCGCAGGTGGTGGTGTTATTGGGCGTCACGAGCGGTACCTGCATGTGCAGCGTGTCCTTGCCGAAGCTGAGTGCTTGCCATGTGAAGTTCTGCTTGGAAGGCAGGGATAACCCGTCAGGATCTTCCGGCGACACGTACCTGCCGCGTGGCGGTTGGTGCCAGCAAACAAGGGTGATGTGCTAGGTTCGACATACGAGAACGACTCTGTTGAGCAGAGACTGCCTCTCAGAAGGGCCCTCCCAAGACACACGTGCCGGGGGGTTGAACAACAAAACTGCTCTGGCCAGGCTGAAAAAGTGGCCTTAACATCGAAATAGTTTTATACTTGCATCGTTCAAGAGTGTTTACACCCATGCCCTATGCACTACACAGCAACTGCGCCAGCAATCAATGGTAACGGAACAAACAACGGCAGAGGTAACGTCTCCAAAGCCAAGAGAAAAAAACTAGGACAACTCACATGTCAGGATCTCCAGATTGGGGGTCGAGGGAGATCAAGAGGTCCGTTGCATTATCCCCAACAGCAATGCTGAAGTATCTGCCAGATTCCAAGGCAAGGGCAACGGACCACGGTCGCCACCGCCTTCAATTTCTGCTTTCGTTACGACCATACCAACTTTTCCAGCACCCAAATACAATTCTTATCGAGGGTTGAAGAAGCACTTGGGAGTAGGTACCAGGTAGGTAACGGTGGTTTTGAACGTAAAGGCAACAGCAATGGCAATGGCAACAGCCGCACGTACGATACGAATTGCTTATGGCCTGTTCATTTCTTGCTTGAAGGAGTGGGAACCGTCGTGTGGAAAACACCAGGATTGTCGGGCCAGAAAACTCAACGGGCCCGCCAGTACCACGTTGTATGTGGCGAATCTTGTTCATGCTTGTAGAAAAAGTGGAGGGGGGTGCGCACTGAGGACTTGGTGGACTCGGTTTGTCCCTGTCTCATCTCAAAACCGCATTCCGTATTCGATATCCTATTTTTGCCGTCCTTCTCATCTACAACTGCGGCACACCGCCAGCACTACCACTGCAACCGCAACTTCAACTACCAAGGCTCCTACGACGACCATCCCTGCGACTACCCCCGCCACACTACTACAGCAACCACCCACACCAGCCACCATAAACACAGCGCCAACAGTTCCGCTAGACGTCCCATCTATAACAGCAGCATGTATACCACCATACACGACCTCCCCAAGACCCCACCGCATCTACGACCTCACGCAACCACGAGGTTTCTCCCGCCCCTCACCCTCACGCACCGCATCTCGGACGCGTCCTGGAGCATCTGCACCGGCATGCCGTCCTCTAGCCGCAGCACGTCCTCGTCGCTCGCCGCCAGAACCCGGTACAGCGCGCCGGCGGTACCCGTGGCCTTGATCATCACCACCACGGTGTCCCCCTCGTGAGGGACGGACCAACCGGGGAGGCGGAGGACCCTTCCCCCGCTCCAGTCGGACTCGCTGGGCGTCGGCTCCCGCCCCGAACTGCTCGCATACGTCTCGACGTCGCCGTAGGCCAGCGTAACGATCACTTCCGAGGGCTGCACTTGTGGAGTGCCGGCCACCTTCGGCACAAACCAGCGGTCCGGTGGTGGTTTCGCGCGGGTCGGAGATATAGCGCCACAGGGGTTGCGAAAGAGGGAGTCACGCAATATCTGGGTACGTTTACTTTCGCACCGGGATTTGAGCTAACGCGCCCGGGCGGCGGAACAAAGAACAGGGACAACTTGTAGTTCCGACACGGTTTTCGAATCCTAGTCTTCTTTCAGTGTATGGTTGGACACCATTCATGCTCCCCTCACGACCCAATCTCCGAGGGTACAATCTCCGATGGTACACACAAGGGGCGGAGGACTACCAAACCAGTCTCGAAGACAGCTCAAATTGACCATGTCTCCTGATCCAAAGACTGGAGGCGATCGCCCTCACATCTCCCCTACACTTTTATCGAATCGAATCGAACGGACAGCTGCAACGGGGGGTTCCGCAGACTGAGAGTAGTATGGCACATTCCGTTCATGGAAGGTCACACGGTATGGGCGCGGGGAGCTCAATTTGTTGAATTATAGGTGCCTGACGACGACTGCTGTTCCCAGGCCATGCATGACGTGTGGTTGCATCGCTTGCAGTAGTATTTATGTTCTGGGAGCCTGGGTCACCACCTTTCTACTTTAGTTTCTACCGGTACGCATGTCGTCAAATATTTCATCTCCCAAAAATGTGTCTGTCCCAGAGCCCAACAAGCTACGGCTGCACCTCGCTCCACGCCTCCAAACCCGTAGGTGGGCGGCACTATACACTTGCTTTGTTGTCACGTGCACGAGCGTTTAGTTTGTGCTTCCTGGACGGGGATTTTCACGCCTTCAGTTCGGTGCATTTGAGTAGTGGGCGTGGTCGCCGTTTGTCAATTTCCATACGCTTATGCCGGATCGACATCTGTGTGTCTGCTGTTGCGTGCTGTTAAGTCAAAATTCAGCAGTGCTCAAGCCTACACTAATCTGTTGGCGAGGTATTTGCGACCACCTGTAGTGCTGTTTCTTCGCCTGGCAGAAGGCGATTCTGACTACGACGACAGCATCAACCGTCGACAGGCATCGACAGCAGCTGTATCTGAAGCAGATGCTACTACTAGCGAGAAGCGGAGAGATTATTGACAACCATGAACCGCCTCCCAGGCGGCCGAAGCATGCAGAATGGTCCACTGGTGGGCATGAACGTCCCTACATGCAATGGAAACCGACCATCCAGTATCTACACAGAGTCGGCTCTCTACAGCAGTAGTAGTGCAGACACCGCCGGACCTCACTCTCGGACAGCGTCCACGATGATGAAAATAGCGGACCTTGTACTTGAAGGCATTCATTTTGCATGTATACCAACGAGCTGACTCTATCTGCAGCTTGAAACTAAATCACCTCAAAGTAGGCGATTTCACCGTCCTCCGCTCTCAGCCAAGTATCGCCGAACGCTGTTCCCATCTCCAGCTTACACGGCACTGCTACCGGACATCGTAGCCCCACGGCCTCTGCTGCTTCCACTGTTGCATCTGCGGATCGCTCTTCTTCCTTTGTGCCCTCAGCGTCTGCAGCAGTGCCATCGAACCTGCTACTACTGAGTGCTGCTGCGGCAATGACTGCTCTGTAGATACTGGGAGCCTTCATCGTGCACCCTACTGCACGACCAAGCAACGTACTACCCAGGCCAAAGAGATGCAGAGATGCAGAGAGGATCGAACAGGGAGGAGAAATACCAAGCAAGAGTTGGCAAGAGGATGGGGGGATCTGCAAATGCGACTATATCGAAAAGGAAAGGTGGGTGTGCAAACCTACATGCCTCGTAACCGATTGGAACATCTCTCTAGAAAGTTTCTTCCCCCGATCCCCTCATTAGTAGTTGGAGGCGTTTTCGCTTCGAGAAGGTTCGAGATTGCAAGTTCGAGATCCGCGAACCGCGAATTGCTGCCCCCCACCCTCAGCCACTTCTCACCGAGATCTAAGAAGAACAGCACGCAAACAGCAGTAGCACCAGAGCGAAAAGCACCAACCAACAATCATGGCAGCAGTCGAGGGAGAGAGCATCGGCATCGACCTGGGCACGACCTACTCGTGTGTGGGCGTGTGGCAAAACGACCGCGTGGAGATCATCGCCAACGACCAGGGCAACCGCACGACTCCGTCCTACGTGGCCTTCACCGAGACGGAGCGCCTGATCGGCGATGCCGCCAAGAACCAGGTGGCGATGAACGCCACCAACACCGTCTTCGACGCCAAGCGACTGATCGGCCGCAAGTTCACGGACCCGGCCGTGGCCTCCGACAAGAAGCACTGGCCCTTCAGTGTGGTTGCAGGTCCCGGTGGGAAGCCCACGATCGAGGTATCTTTCAAGGGCGAGAAGAAGCAGTTCGCGCCTGAGGAGATCTCCTCCATGGTGCTGGTCAAGATGAAGGAGATCGCCGAGGCCTACCTTGGCAAGGAGGTGAGTGTGTAAGATCCGCAATACCTTGTACAAAAATAAGCTCCGGGTGGTTGATCTCAGAGGCATTCACTCCTCAAGGGAGATCTTTGGTGGAAGGGACGGGTCCACATAAAATAAACAGAGATGGACACCAGAGATGGACACCAGAGGTGTTTTGGATCTAGATACCAGATGGAAAGGTTGGTACGTCTATATCATGTAGGTTATTTGACCTGGGATCCGTCTGGAACACAACGTATGGCAGCAAAGAGAGCGGTTGTTTTCTCGAATGTATGCATCCATATGGGCGGCGCGAAATCAGAGCTGGACGGTGATACCTCTTGTTGCTTGCGCCCTCGCCTTGCTGGGAGGTAGTACGAAGCGGCGAGAAGGATAACGATTGATTCCGTCTCGAGGACAAGCAGATTAACAACTGCTAACTTCCCTCGAAAACATCTATACTACTGTAGACTAGATCTATTACATAGGAGTAACAAATACTGTGCCACATTTAACATAACAGTCTGCAGTCACTTGCTCGACTTCCCTGCGGGTGATTATTATTGTTGGAATGGCTGGCAGAGGGAAGAGATACGTGCAACATGGTATTGCCACCGAAATCCTCGTCCCTCGACGTCGTACTACATGAAGTGGCGTGTCTGAGACGGATAGGATTGTGCGTCGTGAGCAGGAGCAGTGAACATGATCACCACGCGATAAGTAGAGCTGAGGTCATGTTAAGGAAGGTTATTGTCGTACCCCTGACACAACCACTGAACGAGTTCGAAAAACGTACACAGTTCCAGATTGTTTCTCTAAGCTGTAGGTTTTCGCCCTTGAGTTGGCGGCAGAAGGAGGAGAGCAAGTCGAAACAAACCCCCGTACAACACGGATATACCAAAGGTCGCCCAGCCGTTGACCCCAACACCTTGTGTTGGTTGTTTCTGGTGGTTTCTGCGGTGGCCCAAACTGTGCTCAACTCAACACGGATTAGACGTGTCATGTTCTGTGTGAAAAAAGAGCTACGGGGGGTTGCGATCATGAATCCTTCGCACAAAGTGGCGTACGTGGGCAGGCGGTCTTAGGACTATCAGTAATATCCGTATCCTCTTACTCCGACTGCTGCGGGCATTGCAACTCCTTGTTGATACTGTGGCTTACTGTGGAGCCCCAGAGCCTTTTACATGGCAGCAATCACGCCCTTTCGAGATGGAAAACGCGTACACAACTTCCAACGAACTGTCCACACGCCTCTTCAGCCATAGATCCCGATCACCAACACTCGATCGTCGCGCTCTGAAAGTGTCGTGGAGAACTTTCGGTGGAAAACTGTTTTTTGGTGACAGATATTTTTACGTTGAGCGACCGTAACCCTAACCCCACCCCTTGTTTCTCTACTTAACTCCTCCGTTAACCCGGTACGCTTCATCAACACTGCCAGGTGAAGAACGCGGTGATCACCGTGCCTGCGTACTTCAACGACTCCCAGCGCCAGGCGACCAAGGACGCCGGATCCATCTCGGGCCTCAACGTGATGCGCATCATCAACGAGCCGACCGCAGCGGCCATCGCGTACGGCCTGGACAAGAAGGGCCAGGAGCGCAACGTGCTCATCTTCGACCTGGGCGGCGGCACCTTCGACGTGAGCGTGCTGACCATCGAGGAGGGCATCTTCGAGGTGAAGGCCACCGCTGGCGACACCCACCTGGGAGGGGAGGACTTCGACAACCGCATGGTGGACTACTTCCTACAGGTACGCACGTGCTCCCTTGTTGGGGCGGTTGGGTCGGTTCATTGGTGCGTGTTTGGTGGGCAACGGAAATTGATTCTTGGTGCACGGTAATGTGGCTGGTTCTTTGTGGATACCAGCCGTGGCGTATGTGTCTAAATAGCACACGTCATTCAAAAGAAAGAAGTTCAGGAAAACTCCGGCTTGTCTTGGCGACCGCAACCTTGCGCTAAAAAGAAAGAAAAGTGCGCTGTTGTAAGGCTTAGTAGAAGAAAGCTGCTTGTTGCCAGAGCGGCTTTCGTGTTTGTCGACGCGATGGCTGTCCCCTGTAAACATGTGCAGTGTCCAGGTGCCCTGCACCCAAGGGTGTTGTGAAGGCGGTTAAGGCTGCGTGAATTCCAGACGGAAGTCTCTTGTTGCAGCGACGAAGTCGATGTGCTGCTAAATACCGGTTTCGGGACTTGTGCTGCTTTTCATTCTCAGATTACAGCATTTTCAGAGAATAGATGCTGAGAGATAGTTGGAAGTGGGCGTGGTGGGGCTCGTATCACCTTGATCTCGGTACGATATCTTACGATGAACAATGGATCGATTCAAGAGCTTCTCGCTAGAACTTGTCGCTGCGATGTTACTTTTCTAACGTCACTTATGATCATATCACGCGCCTACGAATCAACCCTACAGCCGCATCTAAATCTACTACACACATCCTGCAGCGGTTAAATGCGCTGTATGTAAACATCCCCAGCTGTTGTGCTGCTGATGCTATTGCTGCGGCCGGAAATACCAACCGAGTCGATGAATTCGTCCGCACTTGTTACGTATACCTTCAACTTCAACCTGTTTTTTTTCCAGCCGAAAGGAAACTAAACATTTCCACGCTTGAACCGCGCCAGCATTGGAACGGCGTCCTCGGTGAAGACCAACCGGGTGTGGCTCCCCGGCTAGGAGTTGTTTTGAAACGTCAAATTTTCTGATTGTCCCCTCCATTTTTCCCTCCCTCCTTCGTCACCGACCGTGTGGCTTTGCTCTTGTACCACCGTAAACCGTAGGAGTTCAAGCGAAAGAACCGGAAGGACATGAGCACCAACCAGCGCGCCCTCCGACGGCTCCGCACGGCGTGTGAGCGCGCCAAGCGAACCCTGTCGTCGTCCACCCAGGCGCACATCGAGATCGACTCCCTGTTTGAGGGCATCGACTTCAACTCCACCATCACGCGCGCCCGGTTTGAAGACATGAACCAGGACTACTTCCAGAAGTGCTTGGCACCCGTGGAGAAGGTAGGTTCCAAGTTGTCTTGGTTGAGGCGGTAAAAGTGTTGTTTTATTCTGGAGGGGGGGCATAAAAGGATGGAGATCGTTGTATTTTGTCGCACGACAGCGGTAGATGCCAAATACTAGGCATCGTCCATCCAACTTTCAACTGGATTTTGTACAGAGTGCATACATTGTCAAAGTGAGTTTCACCTGATCGCCACTGATATGGGCGTTGATATCATGAACAGGACGGAATATCCAACCGTTTGCTACTCCCGTCCCCATTCTCTACCTTTATTTTTACCCGAAACCAGGTGGTGAAGGACGCCAAGATGTCCAAGGGCCAGATCCACGAGGTGGTGCTCGTGGGAGGTTCCACCCGTATCCCCAAGGTGCAGCAGATGCTTTCGGAGTTCTTCAACGGCAAGGAGCCGTGCAAGTCCATCAACCCCGACGAGGCCGTCGCGTACGGCGCCACCGTCCAAGCCGCCATACTCTCGGGCAAGGACAAGTCGGACAAGCTCGACTCGCTCCTGCTTCTCGATGTGACACCGCTTGGGCTGGGACTGGAGACGGCCGGCGGCGTTATGTCGGTGCTCATCAAGCGCAACACCACGGTGCCGGTAAAGAAATCGCAGGTGTTCTCGACCTACGCGGACAACCAGCCGGGTGTGCTGATCCAGGTTTTCGAGGGTGAGCGCAGCATGACCCGCGACTGCAACCTCCTGGGCAAGTTCAGCCTGGACGGGATCCCGCCCATGCCCAGGGGCCAGCCGCAGATCGAGGTGACGTTCGACATCGACGCGAACGGCATCCTGAACGTGCACGCCGTAGAGAAGTCCACCGGCAAGGAGAACAAGATCACGATCACCAACGACAAGGGCCGCCTCAGCGCTGACGAAATCGAGCGCATGGTGGAGGAGGCCGAGCGCTACAAGGCCGAGGACGACGTCCAGAAGAGCCGCGTGGAGGGCAAAAACTCGCTCGAGAACTACGCCTACTCGATGCGCAACACCATCAACGACGAGAAGGTGCGTGTCTCGGCGGTTCGTGCGTGCACCATATTTCGAGAAGGTATTGGTCGCCACGTTCTTCGGGAGCCGTGTGTGTACGGTGAACATAGGTGACGCATGATTGGGGTCGTACAGTGTCGTGGGGTAGACCGAAAGACGTGTTGTTCCAGTCAAGGTATGCGCACAATCATGGCATCACCACATGGCGCTGTTGCCCAACGCTACATACGTAGAGCCACGAAATGCTCGTGCGGCACTGCTCCCTTAAACCCTTGTCGTACATTCTTCCTCCGAAAACTACAATGACAACAGGTTGCCTCTAAGCTGGACGGGGCCGACAAGACGACGATCGAGNAGGCCGCCTCAGCGCCGACGAAATCGAGCGCATGGTGGAGGAGGCCGAGCGCTACAAGGCCGAGGACGACGTCCAGAAGAGCCGCGTGGAGGGCAAAAACTCGCTCGAGAACTACGCCTACTCGATGCGCAACACCATCAACGACGAGAAGGTGCGTGTCTCGGCGGTTCGTGCGTGCACCATATTTCGAGAAGGTATTGGTCGCCACGTTCTTCGGGAGCCGTGTGTGTACGGTGACAATAGGTGACGCATCATTGGGGTCTTGCAGTGTCGTGGGGTAGGCCGGAAGACGCGTTGTTCCAGTCAAGGTATGCTCACAATCATGACATCACCACATGGCGCTGTGCCCAACGCTACATTTGTAGTCACAAAATGCTCGTGCGGCACCGCTCCCTTAAACCCTTGTCGTACATTCTTCGTCCGAAAACTACAATGACAACAGGTTGCCTCTAAGCTGGACGCGGCCGACAAGACGACTATCGAGACCAAAATCTCGGAGACGATCGCGTGGCTCGACGGTAACCAATCCGCCGAGAAGGAGGAGTACGAGGAGAAGCAGAAGGAGCTGGAGGCCGTGTGCAACCCCATCATCCAGAAGATGGCTGGCGGGGCCGGCGGCATGCCCGGAGGCATGCCCGGAGGCATGCCCGGAGGCATGCCGGACATGGGCGGCGCCGGCTTCCCCGGGACTGGAGGATCGGCAGCCCCCGACGCGGACGCGGACGCCGGCCCCAAGATCGAGGAGATCGACTGAAGGAAAATATTAGAAGTCCAATTTGACAGCGTACTTCTTTGTGTTATATATTGTACGTTCTTGTATAGTCATTGTTTTGCCGTTTTATCTATTTACGACGTAAATGTAGAAATGATCTGATGTGTCTCGTATCGTCGTTGAATGGGCGGCGAGGTGACAGGGCCATATCCCACAGAGTTCGCAGCATATTTTTTCAGAGTAGGGGAGGGGGGAGGGTAGCGCCCAGTCCTGACACAGGTAGAGTTTCCATGTTTCCGTCACTCTGGATTGGAATGACTCTAGTGTTTACACACGTATGTTCTTGTTCGCTCCCGACACCGGATGAATCTACTGTACAGTAGCGAGGATCCTGCCTTGCCTACACGCTCACGGCGGTGGTGTGTTGTTTGTTTGGCTGGGCGGTAGTGATTTCTTGGTGATAAGCTTGCCGGATAAGATACCATAGCGAGGAGAAAAGGGTGGTGTGATTCTGTGAACCGAGGGGAAAGTCGCATGTACAGCTGGGAAAAATAGCTGTGCCACTGAATGTGGTGGGAGACTGGCAATGTGCTGATCTGCTTTTGTTTTTTGTGCTGATCCGCTTTTGTTTGTTGATATATTTTGGTGGGATCTTAAAGCTTTACGTGAGCTCTACGTGAGCTGATGCCATTTCAGGCAAGACGACCCGTTGAGAAGTGTGCAGGTATGAGCGGAATCTTCTTCACCGTGTTTTGCTTAGCAAATTAGTTTCATGGGACCGAGAGCATGCTCGAGCAGGCTTATGGAGGAATCAATTTTCGCTGGGCTTTCTCGAATACCCGTCATCCCATCTGGTCAAACCACGGGGCACAGGGTGCTTCCCCTTTGTGTGGGGTAGCTGTTTTGTAATAAATGTCAGGTGCCCGCGCCAATTGGACAGGTACGGATGGCTGTGGAAGTTATTGAGCAGAAAACCGGAACAGTTAAGGTTGAAGAAGACCATAAGAAAAAAAACTAAGCCACCGTCCTCCCGCCTTGAGGATATATACGGTTCTCCGAAGAACCTTGCCCAACGAACCATCCGATAGCCGGGACAAACGTATTGGCGTTGGCGCACATCTAGTTCCACGAGACTTCCTTGCAATTCAACACAAAGACGTAAAGAGAAAAAAATGGTTGCGCCTAGCAGCGAATGGTAAAACTTGTTGCCAAAAACTCAATCCACGACTACTTTTCGCTCCAATATTTCAGAAATATAGCACCAGGTATGCTACGTACGATATTCTGCACCTACTACCCGTCTCGACCGTATCGTCACGGGCCGAGCCACTCGCTCTCCCTACAAAGATGCACATCTTAGTCCACACGGGGGTTCATCTGTCTGCTCTCGTACAACTCAAGCCACCCTCGTCAAAACTGGCTCTTGCTGCCGGTGATGGCGCCGCTTCCGCGCAGGCTCGTGCCCCTCGGGTTAGCACGGCGGGTCGGGCTGCGGTATGGCACAAACATCACGCCCGGGGACACAGACACCTTGGCAGGGGCGTGTTTTCTCTGCCGGCCCAGCGGCACAACCCCCTCTCGAGAAGACGAGCGGATGGTGTCCGGCGCCNCGGGGCGTGTTTTCTCTGCCGGCCCGGCGGCACAACCCCCTCTCGAGAAGACGAGCGGATGGTGTCCGGCGCCGGCGTCGACACCAGTGACGACACCTCCTTCTTGGCCATCTTGGTCCACCTTGACAACGACGACTGCCTCACGGTGATGTTCTCGGTCCCAGAGAATGCGTGGGAGGAGGAGATGGAGGAGAAAGAAGAGCANCACCTCCTTCTTGGCCATCTTGGTCCACCTTGACAACGACGACTGCCTCACGGTGATGTTCTCGGTCCCAGAGAATGCGTGGGAGGAGTAGATGGAGAAGAAAGAAGAGCAAGCAGGTAGCGACGGCAAAGAAGAGGACGGCGAAGGTGTGCCGGTGGCATCGTCATCGTCGTTGTCCGAGAGGGCCGCGGTGCGGCCGCTCCCAGTGCCGCTTGATGTGCTGCCGAGGCGGTGGGGACAAGGGTAGGGAAAGAAGGGCTTGCTCTCTCGGTCTTTCCCCGGAGANGGAGGAGAAAGAAGAGCAAGTAGATAGCGACGGCGAAGAAGAGGACGGCAAAGGTGTGCCGGTGGCATCGTCGTCGTCGTTGTCCGAGAGGGCCGCGGTGCGGCCGCTCCCAGTGCCGCTTGATGTGCTGCCGAGGCGGTGGGGACAAGGGTAGGGAAAGAAGGGCTTGCTCTCGCGGTCTTTCCCCGGAGAGGAGGGGAAAGAGAAGGCGGAGGAGGAGGCCAGCTGACCCTCCAGTTGCCGCTGCTTCGTGGTGGTCTCACCCTTCCCTTGGCACAGCGCGGCGAACGTGGCGGTCCTGTCCTGCAGCCCCTTGCTCGGGACCACCTCGGGCCAGAAGATGGCCCCGCCAGCCTGGAAGGTCATGGGGGGCAAAATCAAGGAGATCCATTTCCTGGCCGAGGTAAAGAAGAATTTCATCCCACGTATTGCAGTATACCAACAGCAACGGGGTGGAGGCGTTCCGTGATACAGTATGTGACCTGACGACGAAAACGTCAGTTCCTAGTTTCACAAAATCATCACAATCAACAACTACGGCAACATGCGTACCCACTTGTGCCTAACACAGAGGTCTTGATCCACCCCAAACACATGTGTTGATGATCCATGCGGAAACAATCGCGAATGAATACCGGTAGGAACTGCATCAACTGGGGTGAGCATGCTGCACAATACATCAAATGGACGAGCGAGGATATGTTTTTCGAAGAATATCACCCAGGGAACTCAAGTATTGTCCCTGCTCTCGGTTGGTTGGTTTAGTGGGACTGTCAATACGGGGGGAGGTGAGGGTCGAAGCATGCGACGACATGTACAATACCGACAGCTTGGGTACCGGGAAACCGAAAATATAAACACTACGCTGGGTGACACGGGAGCCATTTCTTCGCAAGCACGACGAATCTGAACGTGCGGCAGCATGTGTGGTTCCAATCTCCATACACTTGAAGGATTCGTCACGTCTGCACTCACCGCAGTCTTTATCGGCGCGAGTGCCTTATAGCACTCGGCGAGGTGGAGGCCGATTAAGTTGAAGGCCTCTTGCTGGTGGTCCGGAGTAACCCATTCCTTCGAGCTCCTGGCGTCGACCGGAGGGGATACACGAATGGCAGTCCGGTGGGTGCTTGCAGTTGGTCAGAGTACCATGTGCGGGTCACCGGCTGGCCTCCGATGCAAGTATAGCGTCGAGTTCTTGAGAGGTGAGGGGAAGCACTTCATCGTCTACAGCAACCTGAACTATTGGAACCACCAAGTTTTCCCTCAATAAATGAACTACAACTCCGCTGTATGGATCATGTTTCGCCACGTTTCCATTGCCCGCATGAGCACAGGAACGAACATGGGAAACGTTGGCCAAGTACCCGCGCTTGGCCCGCCCTCCAACGCGTTCTTCACAGATTGCACGACCTCCAGCCCGAAAGAAAAGAAAGGACTGCTTCCCAACAGCAACTCACCGGATGACAAACTTAGCGTTCTTCCACATTGCCAACAGGGGGGACAACAGCTCCCGGAGGCGCTCCGCACCGGCCGNGTTGGCCCGCCCTTCAACGCGTTCTTCACAGATTGCACGTCCTCCAGCCCGAAAGAAAAGAAAGGACTGCTTCCCAACAGCAACTCACCGGATGACAAACTTAGCGTTCTTCCACATTGCCAACAGGGGGGACAACAGCTCCCGGAGGCGCTCCGCACCGGCCGGGTAGCACTTGTTGCTGCGCAACGCTGCGTTGATGGCAGCGCACTTGACCGAGAGGCTCAGAAGGCCGACCGCTGGAACGTCACATGCATCCTTCGCGTCTATCGCCGTCTTGAGGCGGCCGACGACGTCGACGGCGACCCGCTTCTCTGCCTTCGTCATGCGTTGGGGCTGAGGCTTGTGCGTCGACGGGACTTGCGCGGACGCCAGGACCGCAGCTGTAGCGTCCATCGTGGTTCCCTGAGGGCGGACATCACGCTTCGCGATCGAACGGTGGCCGGTGTCGTCGACGACGCGGGGCAGCAGCGCCAGGTCGGGTGTCGCAGGGGTGTTCACCTGTATGCGGTGGGGGGAATGAATGTCGTTCATTCCGAAATCGTCATTGACATTGTGAAATGCAGCAATTTCAACTAACTACACTTCGTCATATCTGTGTTTAGCGCGTAGTTGATCATGTTTCACGGTCAAACAGCGGATGGATGCATTTACAGGGAAAGGCCTTACGAGAGCGTATACACAGCGTTCTTGCACGTCGGGCACCTTACTTTGTTGGGTCGTCATCATCATTGTCCTGGTCGCTACATCGCACAACCCCGCAACTGCTGTACAAACCAACCATCCAAACTACAGGGGTACGTCGTAAGACATCCGGAATATCTTGCGTCTCTATGCATGTGTGTAGCATGTATGATTCAAGGAGTAGAGAAACTGTATCAAGTCTCGTATGTGATGCTAGAGTCTTTGTCTACAAACTACTGTAATTGTCTCACCGCTTGTTGCGCCGATGATCGTTGGACCACCGCTCGACATGTTGGTGAGGGTCTTGATGGCAGCACCGGAGAGGTGCAGAAGAAAGCCGTGTACAGCATGGGGAACGCTCTGGCTAAGTCGTTCCCTGTGTCGGCGTCGACGAGGAATATCTTCGTCAGCACTCTCTGCATAGTTTTCATGCTGTGCGAATCGGGTTTATTTTCGACCATGAACAGAAGTGGAGGGTGGAGGGAGGGTGGGGTGAACGGGTAAAATGAAGGGTTGTAATTGAAATCTTGGCACATGTCTTGCGACGAGATGTTGTGAGGTGTTAGTCTCCCTACTGTACAGGACTGACTCGAATCCCATGAGGGCACCAAAGCATGGTCGCCTTCAAACGTGAGCGTGAAGCGACCCTAAACGAGACGTGTAATATTGGACCGACAGCTTTTTTTGGGACTATTTTATGGCAGTGGTGTAGTCTACAGTAGTATTGAATACTACTGTAACGTTCTTAAGAACTGAACATCGCTTTAATTAGGCGATGATCGAGGATCTGGCCGAGACTCAAATCGGAATATGAACCAACCAGCACACGGGGAGCTGGCCCAGTCACGAGGAAGAAGGCATCCTTAACACGAACGCGAACGTACGCGTGCTGCTGCTTGTACTCGTTCCACGAGAGAGGGCGTCTAAGGAGAGGCAGAGAGACATGAGGTACATGTACATAGATTGTCCGCGTCCTCTATATGCCAACCAGACAGCCGGGTCGACCTGCTACGGCACATCATGAAAGACAGTTGGTGCCTTCCATGGTATCAACTCGAGCTCGATACAATCTTAGCGTCTCTCCTTGGTTCTCAGGTGATTTGTTTCCAGAAGAAGAAGAGTGTTGTTCACTGTAGACTACAGTAGTAGTTGTATACCTTCACAAGTTCTGGAGCAGAGACAGGTGTTGGGAGGACATATGTGTGTGAGGTGTGAGAGACGCGGCCGTTTTTTTTTTTTTTTTGCGTTGCGTTCTCCTACGGACCGGTCGGCCCGTCGGAAACGCACGAAAAAAAAAAAAACCTTGTTCAAATTTCAAAATTCGCTGTGTACCCGCCTCGGCCGCTGTACTCAACTCCTGTGCCTGTCTCACTCAGGGGATCGCACGCTTGGCACTACCGCCTATTGCCTACGACACAGACAGCGTGCGACAGAGGTGGGTGTATTATGATCTTGGCACCCTCTATCTGGCCGATGGATGAAGAGATGTCAGTTTGAAATACGCGGTGCATGTCTCATCGGGCTGGTGGCGTGTGGCTTCTGGCGTATGGTGTGTGGTTCGGATACTTCGAATGTGCCGGTTCGGGAGAACAACGGAACATCATTATCAGACCGCCACGACCAGAGACCACAATCTTGCCTCCAGCACGCGCAAGCCCCATACATCCACAAATATCATTGAGGGGTGAGATGGGCGGGTCCGAACGCAGATGCTACATTAGCGCCCGCACGTGCACTCAGGTGAGCCAACCATAGCACCGACATCAAATGAGTGCCGAGACAAACACAGCTACAACAGCAGCAGACTCAGCTGCTGCAGCTGGCAGTTCGTCCCTCAAACTACACAAACTACTGCTGAAGGTCTAGTCTATGGCATATTCGAAGTAGCATGCAGCAGCCATACATCTGGAACACACCACATGAGCTACGCCATGAGAATTATGGAGCGGGTCTTTCAACGCGACACAGTCCACGGCAAATTGCAGAATGCACAAACGGCTGTTGCTCAGAAACTTTCAAATATAGTCTAGTCTAGATCTGATGTATCTAGTCTAGACTAGTCTATGCGTCTTTTGAGCCCCAGCGCCGTGAGAAGTTGATTAAGTACCT